GACTGCAATTTCCCACAATGCAACAGCTCCCCTCCCACTTCCTCCCCATGGTTACCTCCTCCCTGTGTCCATCCCTCCATGCACTCCTGCCCCCTGAGCTGTCTCCCTGCGCATACACAGCCCTTCTATTCTTCCATGATTGATCTCTCTAAGGAGTGTATCAGCCTAGTGGAAATGTTCAGCTCCTATGCCTGTCTTGTTTGGCTGGAAGTCACAGGAGTTGGGTTCAATTCCAGACCTGAAGGGCAGCTAGGGGGCATAGTCTCAGTGGTTCCATCAGGCTCTATCAGACCAGCAAACCTGGTCCCTTTTTTTTTTCCCCCAAATGATTTTGAGTTTTGTTCCATACTGTTCTCCCTCTCTATCCAGGATCTCCTCCATAGACCCCCCTCCGAGTGGTTGACAGTGGTAGCCCGGCACCATCTAGTTCTTCTGGTCTCATAGTCGTATAGGCTGCGGATCAGATGGTGTACCAGTCGCTTGGACTAATTGTTTTCATGTCTTTGGTTTTCTTCATTCTTCTTTGTTCTGGATGAGGAGAGACCCATCGCTGCATCTAGATGGCTGCTTGCAAGCTTTTAAGTCCAAGGCTGTAAATCTTTAGGGAATTAGATGGTCTCATCTTCTGCTGAGCAGCTGGTGGGTTTGAACTACTGACCTTCTGGTTAGCAGTGAATGCCTTATCCACCATTCCACCAGAACTCCTCCAAAATGCCATGAGGGAATTTCAGTGCGGGAGAGACCCTATGGATCCATTCTGTATTTTGATTGTGGCAGTTATAGGACTGCATGCATTTGTCAAAACTAGTATAGATATGAACGGAGTGAATTTCACCATATGTATATCACGCCTTACTTTAAAAATTGAAAGAAAAAAAAACTCTAGAAAAATTGTTTGTAGACCCAAAACAAGGCTTTAGATTTGGAAACCCCTAGACACATATGACTGTTTATATTATCATTAAAATTAGATGAAATTAAGGATTCAGGTCCTCAGTGGCATTGGCTAGAGTTTAGTGCTTAGTGGCCACATGTGGCCCTGGCTGCCACGCGGGACAGTGTGGATAAGGAACATTTCCATCACCGCACAAAGTTCCACTGGGCAGTGCGAGGTGTGAAGCCAGGGATTCCGCGTCAGCCCTCTCCTGCCTGTATCTCCCAAGTCAGAGAATCCCTCAGGTGCAACGTGAGCCAGGCACGTCCTAGCTGCCCAACGAGACCCCCAACAAAGAAGCAATGAGAGACCCCAGAGGGGTCCTCGCTGTCGTCAGCTGTCCCTGTGCAGACGGGAGAAGGCAGTGAGTGCAGCACCCAGTCCCGAGAACCTCAGGGATTGTCTCTGCCCCAGGACTAGCTGGATCTGAAGCTCTCAGAAGAGGTGAAGGGGGACCAGCCTCATCGTCTGGGAGCTGCCCGTGTGGACCTGGCATCTTAGTGAGCCTGGAGCTCAGCGGCTGCTTGGAGGACGACTCGCGAACCTGGCCATTCTTCTGTCTTATCACCATCCCCTTCTTTTTCCCGTTAACAGTGTCACTTCCTACGGCATCTGGAGCCTTCCGAGCCTTCCTGTCTCCCTGATACCGTTTCCTGCCTGTGCGCAGAGTCCCTGGGATTTCGCAGCCCACAGTGCCAGGAAGGCTGACCATAGTGAAAGGGACTGCACTCTTGTGACAGAGAGTAAAAGTGTGTGAGCATGTGTGAATGTGTGTGTATATGCATACGTGTGTGTGAGAGAGTACAGGGCCATGTGTGTATGTGTATATGAGTTTATGCATGTGAGAGAATGTGTGTATGTGAATGTTTATGTGTGTATGTGAGCGTGTGTGTAGTGTGTGTGTATGTGTGTATGCAAATATGCATGTATGTGTGAGTGTATGTATGTTTGTATGTGAGTGAATGTGTATGTGTATGTATGTGTATATGTGAGTATATATATGTTTGTATACAGCATGTGTACATAAGTGTGTGTATGCAGTTTGTGTGTGTGAGGATGTGTGTATATCAGTAAATGCATGTACATATGTGAGTGTGTGTAGTGCACATATGTGTATATGACTGCATATATTGTGTGTATGTACGTGTATGTATTAGTGTATGTAGTGTGTACATGTGTGTATATGAGTGTGTGTATGTAGTATTTTATGTATGTGTATGCATATTGGTAAATGTGTGTGTAATTGTGTATATAGTGTGCGGGTGTACATGTGTATGTGTGTGTATATGTGAGTGTATGTAGTGTGTGCATGTGTGTATGTAATATGTGTGTATGTGTGTGATTGCATATATATTGTGTGAGTCAGTGCCTGTGTGAGTGTATCTGTGAGTATGGGTGTGTATCTGTGTGTGGATGTGTGTATCTGTGTGTGTGAATGTGAGTGTGTATATCTGTATGAGTGTGTATCTGTGTGAGTGTGGGTGTATCTGTACATGGATGTGAGTGTGTGGATGTAAGTGTATCAATGTGAGTGTGCATGTGTGATCTATGTGTGGATCTGTGTGAGTGGATGTATCTGTGTGTGTCTGTGAGTGTGTGGATGTGTGTGTGTGAGTGAGGATGTAGCTGTGTGTATCTGACTGTGAATGTGTGTGTATCTGTGTGAGTCTGGGTGTGAGTGTGTGGGTGTGCCTACATGCATGGAATAGCCCCCCACAGAAACTTTTCCTTACCCATGTGAGACCATACCCTAAAAACCTGAGAGAGATGGTGCCGTCCCCTCAGCCTGCTTGCAACAGGCCACTTGGTTTTTCCCGCACAGCCTGTCTGCAGCCACTCTGTCATTTCGGATTTACACATATTTCTTACACACCGATTCAGGAAAAGGTGTATTTGACTCAGATACCCCAGGAAACATGTTCTAACCAAAGCACGGGTGGAAAATGCTGTGAAACAAATCACTACAAAACTCAGCAGCTTAAAGCAATAAGCACTTATTACGTCATCATTTCCGTGGATCAGTACCTAGGGGACGTCTGAGCTGAGTGGTTCTGGCTTGGGGTCTCATGAGGCTGGTCAGGATGTTGGCTAGTGCTGTGTCCTGTGGAAGCTGACTGAGCCCGGGTACCTACCTCCACCTCTGAGGTGGCTCACTCATGTGTCTGGTGAGCTGGTGCTGGCTATTGGCACCATGTGTGCCTCCAAAGGGCTGCTCGAGTGTCCTCACAACATGGCGGCTGGCTTTTCTCAGAGAGTGATCCAAGAGAGAGCAAAGAGGAGGCGCAAAGTGTTGTATGGCCTTGGCAGTCCCAGCCTACCATTTCTAAAATAGCCTATTGGCTACGTCGGTCAGCCCTACTCAGGGTGGGCGGGGACAGGCTGGGGGCAGGAGCACCAGGGAAGGAGCTGATGTGAGGGGCTGGCATTTCACAGACCCATCCAGCAACCGGGCGATGCTGATGAAAACAAGGCAACACTCCGAATTCGTCCATCTCTCACCTGGTGGGAGGGGAGACGCAGCACATGAGATACCTGGGTTATCACTGAGGCAGACCAGGGTGGCACACAGGCTATGGAGTCCGCTCCACCATTAAACAGCTGTGTGACCTTGGGCAAGGTTTTTGGGCTCTCCGGGACTCAGTTTCCTCTCCTATAAAATGGGTTTAGGGTTGTTGGAGAATTCAAAGAGATACTGTAAATGAGGCTGGGAGGCATTCCGAAACTCACTCGTGAGG